AAGCCAGATAACTCTGGCTGAACTAAGTGGGACGTTATACCTGAAGATAGTATGATGACACACAGTTTTAGCTTAAAAAGTTACAGCTACAGAAATAAATTGTAGTACAATGGTACAAAGCACCCAAACTTTTGCTTATGCACAAACTCCCACTCACCGCTGATTTTATTCAGCAAAAAAAATCGCAACTAAGTTTTTCTTCACCTAGTCTGTCATCTCACTCACATCCTCCAGAGAGGTACCATGGGGGCCATTAAAAATGGGAGCAAGATTTCCCTTTCCCCCTCTCCTCCTCACCCAGCACTTTCCTGAAAGCCAGTTTATTAGCCTGTATACAACAAAGGATCATATAGTTATATGGTACCCCAAGTTTAAGAAACTTCTAATTTATCTATCTATATTTGTTCAACTCAGCATAAAAAAGGAACAAACTCCCAGTGTCTTCCCAACAGGAAGTATGATTGTCACTCAGCCACAGCAGTGAAAATCCCATTGCAATTTAGAATCAGAAGTTAACTTTGCTGCTACTGTTATTTAGCTGCAAATTAGTCTAGGCACATGAGAACACATGGGAATACTTCATTTTCACCACAATTTTAAGTTGTCTCCAAGTGAAAATAGCCTTCCAAATTCATAAAAGCAGCACACTGGCTTACCTGCACTGCCTACAGTTTGAAGCCCTAGAACAGCAGCCTTTGGCACTTTGCATCACAGAAAAATCCACACATCAAGCTACAACTAATCTCTACAAGGTACATCCTATACAGCAGCAGACAGGTTATCCTGCTGACAGTAATCCACTAGCAGTCTCTGGTTCACACAAAGAAAAGGCTGCAAGAGAAGTACATAAGTACACTGGAGGCAGACAGGAATGGCTTCACATCACATAATTCCCCATTAAATGAATCAGAGCAGTAACTTCTTGAAGACGAATGGCAGGCTTAAATTCAGTTTAGTCTTAGTCTAGCGCAAGCCTGCAAAGTAGGAAGCCATCTTTACAATTTAGCTTGTCAAATACCGTAACAAAAAATATCAGGAAGTGACATTAAAAGAGCACTCATGGTTCATTCCGACTGAGCAGCTACCTTATTTATTTGTAAAACCTCTGCCACGAAGATCCACAAGGGGTTAAGTTTCCTCACAGCAGAGAAGATTAGTATTGACTTGCTAGTTTATTCCCAGCAGATAAGGAATTTCACTGCATTTGGAAAAGCCACATTCTTACCAAGCATCGCTTCATCTGAAAAGACTGCACCTTCACAGCCTGAATGGCTTCATCCAGGAGCTTTTCCTGCTCATCCTGAGGAGACTGCTGTGTTGTCGGCTGGAAAAAAAAAAAAAAAAAAAAATACCGTCATGTCAGTTACTCTTATGAAGCTGTCAGACTTGCTCAAACCAAGTCTCCATAGTTCAGAGCAGAGAACTTCAACACAATTAACACATCAAATGTATCCGGATAGATATGATAAGCATCAGTATACTTTGGTTTTTAACTCATATACAGGATGTAAGAGTCTTCTGTTCACCAGCACACAAATTTGAATCAGTAGCTTGTAGTAAGCAAGCACAGTAAGTAACCTAACATAATCCATTAGTATACGGCCATCCCCACGCTACTTCTCAGACCAAGACCATCACTTCATACCCTCTGTGAAGGTGATCAATTCCGGCTCTTTAAGAAATGCTTTAGCTTGTGTCAGCTTTCTCATTAAAGCTGTGATGATGTCATGGTGATCCTAATTTCAGCTAGGGATATATGGCATTTTCGATTTTGCTTTTAAAAATACACATATGTGTAAGGGAGAAAGTTTCTTGTTCCCAAACAGGGAGAAGATGGGTTATGGGGAACCTATGAGCACCAGTACCGTTTTGCTTCTCAAAAGAGGAAAGCCATGAGACAGAATACGATCAACTTCTCCATCCTCTTCCAAAACTGGTGGGCTAAGAAACAGTGAAGTGTCCAGCCAGAGAAAGCTTCAGGAGACTAGCAAGGCATCACAACACAGAGCAGGTATTGCTGCTCCTTCCAGAGCTGTGAGCAAAGCCTCAGAGCACGCAGGCTGCAGCCACACACCCTTCCCCACACTCACAAATCATAAGCTATCAGCCAGCTGCAGAGCCACAAACCCTGATGAGGACAGGCTTCAGATAAGCAAGGCAAAGCACAAGCAGTGGTTTTTTTTATTTATTATTTTTTACATCTCTCTGTAAGGTAAAGATAACTGGCCAAGGCATAGAGAAGTGAAGAAAATGGACAACTCTTAGTGCCCCCCACTGCCACTCTTCCTCTCACCGCTCCTCAGAGAAGCATCCCAGGCCTTCTCTACCTAAACAACTCTCACGCTCATGTGTCTTTTTAAGCATTGCACCATTTTATCATGCACATTAAAACTCACTTCCAGCCATCCAGATGTAATGGATCCTCACTACTGCAGCTACTCCCTGCCCTCTACCAGGGAGATGCTATGAGCATCTACCAGGGAGATGCTCGTCTAAACTGCTCTCGTCAGTCTGGAAGTTATTGTCCGAGGGGTCTCAAACCTGCTTCGCTCCAGACGCAATCCCCAAGTCTCTCCTCGTGTCTCCAGCGATTCCCACCATGCTCGGCAGAACACCAAGTGCTGTCCCCAGCCTGGAGCTACCCTTCCTGCTAGCTCCTTACAGGGAAAGGCACCATCCACCTATTGCTCAGGCGCAGTCTGACATCTCACTAGAGCCTCCCAGGCTCTCCCAGACCCACAGGTTGTTTTCAGGCAGCAGCTTAGCATTGACCTCGTGTCCCAGCTGCACCTTCCCAAGTCTTGACAAACACTGTTTATGTACTCAGCAATGCCTGCAGCAGGATCGCCAAGGTTGCAGCTTCAGTAATTTCAGCTGTTTGTATTTGTTCCCTTCATCTATCACGTTCAGAAAGCTCCTGGTCTCTCCATTGTAACTCATTGTAGACAGCTAGCAGGCCACTAACCCTGTCATCGTAGTGTTCCTGAAAACACATCTTCAGCACCAACTACTTCCGTACATCCCAGGCTCGGAGGCCCCATACATATCTATAAAAGGCAGAGATTAAAGTTTGACTCTTCGATAAAATACAGAGATTTTAATTTAACAGCAATTTAATGACGGCTGCTTTGGAATACCCCTTCTCTCTCTATTCTCCTACATCTGCTGTTTCTCTGGATTCTTGCTCTGTAACCAGGATCTCCAAGCAAAGTCCCAGACAATAATCTCTGCTTGCGCTCCATAATACGCTTCTACCTGTGGAAGACCCAACGCCCTGCCACACTGCCCTTGCCTTGAGCAGGTCCAGATAAATGGTGGAAACTCTCCCCATAGAGGCTCTCATCACCCACCTACACAAAACCAAGAGTGACTTGATCTACCACTGGTGGCAATCCTGCTTCAAATAGGAAGTTATGAGACAAAAGTGGTGGTTAGGACCTCTACGTCAGGGCACCTCACTAATATTCAAATAATGTACAATAACTAATCAACCAGAATTTAGTCTTGGTAACAGAAGAGTTCTCTGTGCCAATTAACATGGCTGCATCTCTTATAAAGCTCTTTTTATAACTAACTACACAAAGTGCAGGAAATACAGAGGCTCACTGAAGCACAAGGCAAAAACCATAACACTGCAGCAGTATCCATGGCTAAGTGGATCTATTTTCCAGATAATTGACTAACTACAAACTCTAGAAAAATTCCGATTGTAAAGCAAGCATTTTCTGCCAATAAAACTCTGCTGTATCTGTAAATTTTACTCCACAAGAGGTCTGACTTAAGTGAAAGAAACTGACAGTGCAGGCACTAGTCTGTAACTGCCAGTATCGAAACACCATTTAACTGACTAGCTCAACGATGGCTCGGACGGAGCGCTCGTCACCCACCCTGCAGTCTCCTGAATTCATACAAGGGCTTTGGAAAAAATAAATTACTAACGAAGTTATTGTCATTTGCTCTAAGCACTTCAGTAACTGCTGCATTAGAGCACAGCTAGAAACAGCGGAATGATGTTTAACACTCACTGCAGCCTTGGAAGCCCTCTCCTCCTGCCGCATGCACAGCTTCGGCGGCACCTTTCCCAGCTCTGCGCCGTGTGGCGCTGGGGAAACCAAGCGGGCTGCAAAGCTCTTATTTACTTTTCCATTTTCAGAGTTCATCAACTTCCCCTTGCCTCCCAGCCTGCTGTAGTCATCACAGAACTATATGCATGGTTTGTACCCAGGCTGGCTACTAGCAAGTACCAGGCACACGCACATCCTGATCCGCACGCCTGAAGTTTGAGGAAGTAGCAGCAAAAGGCAACCAAGCTTTTGTGAAAGCAACACGCAACACAAGAGCCCTCAACTGTCAGGAGCACATCCGATTAAGTACAAGCTAGTGCATCAAAACAAGCTAAGCATTTCAGTCTAAATGGCTGTGCTCATCTCTAGAAAAGTCTGAGCTACCTCTGCTAGATGGGTAAGAACCAATGAGAGATCAAGTGAACAAGATAGTTTTCTTTCTCTGACTTCTTTTTTAATTCCTTCATTTTAAAGCCACACAGAAGAAAGTGAGGACTACAGAATGAGGGAGAATTGCTTTTTCAGCAGCATTTTCCAAACTGCCCTTATCTACCTCTGAAGAAAAGAGCTGCCTTCCCTTGCTACACCGGTATTACAGAGGCCACAACACAGCGCAGCTGAACTTGGCTCTTTCAAAACCCTTAAGGCTCTTCCTGCTTGCTGAATGCCATGGGATGCAAGCTGTATGGGGGGAGAAGGGTATCACTAAGAAGATTTTTGATAGTTTTGGCACTTAAAGACAACAGGAAACCTACAGAGGTAAATCAGGAGAACTGCCAGCCCGCAGATGAAGCCTAGATACACACTGAGCATTGCTGCAAACTTCATGGAGCTCCCTGGCACCACAAAAACATATTTTACACACAGGGCACTACTCCACAGTACAGAAAATAGCGCCAAAGCTTCCTTTAGGTCTCAGATCAGAGAAGACTGAAAATGAACCAAACAGAAGGAAGTGACCTTCACAGGTTCAATGTGGGGCTTCCCGTGTCAGTAAGTACTGAGACATGACTAAGAATCCAGGGACTGGGCTTTTACTTTGGAGATGACCAAGAACTCGCACGCGCACACACACACACAAGCAAACAAAAACCCCATTGGTTAGAGTGCATTTAAACATTCTGCTTCAAGGCCTAAATCAAGTCTAGCCATTGGAAACAGAAATGGAATCAAATTTCTTAGAAGAAATTATCCCATACTTAATATCTAGAGATTTATGAGCCTCTGAATCATCTGCCATCAGCTCCAATCAGAAAGAGGACATAAGAGTAGGCAACACAAGCAAACAAAAACCCCATTGGTTAGAGTGCATTTAAACATTCTGCTTCAAGGCCTAAATCAAGTCTAGCCATTGGAAACAGAAATGGAATCAAATTTCTTAGAAGAAATTATCCCATACTTAATATCTAGAGATTTATGAGCCTCTGAATCATCTGCCATCAGCTCCAATCAGAAAGAGGACATAAGACCAGACAGGTCTTAGGTCTGTAGAAACTACTACACAGGTTGAAAAGCAGAAAAAAACAGTTGCATCATCCTTAATGACTACCATGAGCCACAGACACGGGACAGGGGGCAGAAGGGCCTGCTACCTATGTCCCCGGAGCTTTCCCCATCACCCAATCACATATTTTCACTTGTTTTGAAGCCATGCCACAGGTTAAGCC